GAAGAGTCGAGAGGAGATGTGTGATAGCATGTGTTATTGCATCTTGCCCAGCACCTCTCGCTTCATCCTCTCATGGTTTCAGTTGTGGCAATGATTCCTTCCATTTCACCCATTCTGGCGACACAAAGCTTCTATGACAGAAAGCTGGAAAGGCGTGTTCTTATTCATCAAAATAAAGCTAAACGGTGGCCTTTGACCTGACAGAGAGCCGTCATTAGTATGCGTCAGTGTGTAGCCACTCAAGTGACCGCAAGTAGAGTTTGTGCCCGAACGTCTAGTCGCAGGCGTGCCAACAATTACATCACAATCAGTACTGAGTGAAAATGATTCCAGTGTCATGGAAGTTGTTTGCCGACACCGACGAGTTTGTATTGGCATCAGTCGTGGGCCGCAACTTATATGCTGATCGTGCCGGTTTGGACAGTGGCCTGACGATAGGAATTGGCACCGAAACTCCGATTTGTCCATCCGTGGCCAATGAAGAGTGAGTTGCAGGGTGGAGAGGAGGGGTAAAGATTTGCTGTGTGCTGTTACAGCAGGCCTCCTCCTCCCCCCCTTAATCGGAGGCTTGCAGCGAATAATAAAAATCCTGTTGGCAACGTAGTCGCGGCGACTAGGAAGACCCTTCTGCGGATCAGCATAACAAGAGGTTGTGCTGCCAAAAGATTATGAAGGCGCAGACGGAATTCTCTGCATCGGTTCTGCCGGTGGCGATTAACCATGAACGACTTGTGAGGTGAATGCCTTCTGCGCACGGCGACGTCATCCTCCTCACTGATCGCGATGTCATGGCTAACCGCTGTCTACGTGAAACATCGAAGCCCTTCCCTTCCGCCTCCCTCGCTCACCTGGCCCTTGCTCTGCCACCTCACGCGATTCGAACTCACATTAACCTTACGATTGCCCCAATTAGCAACACCTCAAACGTAGGCGGCTTTCATCTCACCATCTCGCACACGATGATGGAGCATTAATTCCCCCTTGAGATTGCCTGCATCGGAATGGTCCATCAAAGTGGGAGTTGTGCTGAGTTTTGTGAATTGGCAGACTTGATGGGGTGCAGGTTAAGTCTTATGACGGTCTTGGGAAATCGCACTTTTTTCACTTCCTTAGTCCACCCACGCCCTCGTTGAAATGCGGAAAGCGATTCGGTTGTTGATGCTGGTGCAGTTGGAAGTGAAGTGGAAAGCGCAGAGACCTG